CCATGTCGCCTACACCTGCAATTCCACCTGCAGTTTACAGTGCTCCATTAACATCACTGTTACTCTAGTTGATTCAAATTCAGTCCCCAGAGATGACACAATAGAGTGTGTAGGGTAAACCACCTAGACCTTCCGGATCTTCCTTAACTACTTGCTTGGAAGACTTCTGTGGTAATGAATATTCATGTCTATCATAGAGAACACAGGTTTCTTCAGCTATCTTCCTATATGGAGTTCTTACTTCTATATGACCCGGGTTAATCTAGCAGTCTAATTATATGAACCAGGAAGACACGCCATGTCTGCTACATATGGACTTTGTTTATTTTCTTGTCTGGATGAGATTTTTCATTTCCTAGCTACATGTCTAGATGGCTTAGATGCGAAGCATGTCTCGCAGCTGCAAATCCCTGTGTGTGACACCGGAACTGCTTGATATTCACAGAGTCTGACAGTGCTAATGACGGCTTTCCCCTGGATGTTTACAGAGACATTTGTTAGTTTGCATTGCAGTGGCATTTCTAGAAGAGAGAAATTATTTACATTTTGATGTTTAACATCTTCAAGAGTGTTTTTTTCTTCTTTTTCTTTTTGATCTGTTAAAGGATGACAAAATAGTTAGTGCAGAAACTCAGAGAATGCATGTCATTAAAGACTGTTTTACATTTCCTTCTGTCTTCTAAAACCAGATGTATGTTTCAGCCTCTGAGATTGAATATTTCATTAGGAAGCATTAGGGGGTGGGAGTATTTTAAAGTCAAACTTTTTTTATTGGTTATTTTATTTATTTGCATTTCTTTTTAAGAGTCTCCATTGCTGTTGTACTCCATGTCTCTGAAACCCTAGGTAGGAAGGGTGTATAGATTTTGTGTTGCTGAAATCCCATTCTTTCCCTCACCTCATCACAGTTAAATATTTGAGTCCCTTCAATAATGGAAAGGGAACTTGATATTGTGGTGCGGGTATTGCAGGGGATGTGAACTTTCCCCTTGTTTCCTCTCTTGTGCTTTTCTTGGTTGTAAAGAGTCATCAGTGCGGTGCATAAAAGGCTTGATTTTGATTTTACCTTTTCATGTGCACAGGGTATTCAATACTCCCGCCTCCTTGTATTGCCACATGAGCTTCTAGGATGTACAAGGGTTACCTCTTTGCTAGGATCAACCACATTTGTCCAGTTACTGCCCAAGTCTGTCAGGCATTTGGGTTGTTTTGGGATAAGTGTAGATGGGTAGGCAGATGATGTATTTTGGAGAAAGACTGTATCATGACTGAGAGTTTTCTCACAAATATATCAACATATTGGCCACTGATGTGTATGAAGGAGCCACCCAAGTGATCAGAGTACAGGGTTAGAGTGGCTTCTCTTTTCTGTTCAGTAGCAGTTGATCTCTCCTTCTCAGTAAATTAAACTGGACTCAGAGAAGGTCCCAAGAATGCCTCAAGCCGAGGAGCTAATCCATAGCTCAGCTGAGAGTAGAAGTGGAGTTTCTTGGTTCCTAGTCCAAACTCTCTAATGCATTGCTGTTGAGATAATGACACATTTTTCAAAAGTTAGAATCTAATAGGGCTTCCATGCTGATGACTACTAAGCTGCAGTTACTAAACCTTTTCCATCTGATTACAATAAGCTGAAAGCATAGCTAAACATCACATGTGAGGTTGGATGTTGCTGTACTGACCAAATATTTCTAATGTTTCTGGAAGGCATTGTGTAATGGTATTAAGAATACTGTGTTGAAATAAAGGAAAATTTGGGTTTGATTCTCAGTTTGAAAAACAACAATAACAAAACCAACAACACAATCCATATATTTTTAAATCTTTAAGAAGATCTTGTTTCTTTGATTTTTGTTGTTGTTTGTTTTGTAACAATCTTTAGGTACATGAACTGTAGCCAACTAAGAGGGTGTTGATGGTGATGCTCTGGGTGAGAAACTGTTGTAGAACCCAAAATGCACTTTACATTTTCACTCAGTTAAAGGGCTGATCCAGCTTTGGGCTGCCATGAATTCAGTTCTGTAGTTTATAGGTTCACCTCTGTGTGCTACCAATCTCAGGAGAGAATGTGCACTTCTGAAAACGTCAAACAGCTGCCTATGTAAAGTGATTGGAGAGAGAATTCAAAGTAGAATTCTGCAGTATCAGTAGTCTCAGCAAGAGCCTTACTTTTATTCCACTCAGTGCCTAAAGGAAGTCTACAGGGCAGTGGTGCTCAACCTGTGGGTCACAACCCCTTTGGAGGTTGAATGGTCCTTTCAGAGGGGTGGCCTAAGACCATCTGGACACACAGATATATTCATTATGATTCATAATAGCATCAAAATTATAGTTATGAAGTAGCAATGAAAATTTTATGACTGAGGGTCACCACAGCATTAGAAACTGCATTAAAGGGTCACAGCATTAGGAAGGTTAAAAACCACTGTAATAGGGGATAAAATAGAAGACACAAAATGCAGGCAAGTCATTGAGCAAGTAGACAGATGTTTTTCAAAGGAAACAAAAGATCAGTAGTTCAGAAATGTACAAGTATCCACACATGCACACACGCCCACACGTGCACACAGGCACATACACACACCCACACACACCTTGTGCACTACTAATCTACCTTCGCTTTTAGAGACATTTCTCTTAGATTGCAAAAGTGACTCATTTGTTCTCCACCATTAGGATTTTAAAGTTCACAGCAGAACTCAGCTTCTGTCTGAGCTGTGAGCATTCAAATACTCTTGAAGATGCCACGAGATAGCATCAGCTTTTTCCATAGTCTTGCTATCCATTTCAGTAACATTCCGGGGAGAACTAGATTAAATGCGGTGTGCACTAATAGCAATGGAGCCTCGGTTTATGCCCGCTGCTCTACAGCTGCTTCCAGCAGGTTGAAGTGGAGAAGAAGTAGCCACCTTCGTCAGACAGAGGGCTGACACCTTCCATCCATCATCTCAGAATCCAGGCTACAGGATTGAGTCACAACTGAGGAAAGCAAAGCTTCCCATGACCTTCCCAACTCAGTCCTCAAGTACATATGTGTACCCATTGCGCCATAAATCCTTTTGTTATTTAGCCCTGGAAGAGAGTGGACCATTAATCAGGAGGTTTGTCTTCAGATGTAATGTGTGTGTGCTAGTTAAGTGAGAAAATTCAGAGTGTTACACACAGGCATGCATTTCTTAAAATTACACTAGCTCAGTGCACTCGAGCCAAAAGTATTCAAATAATTGTCCTTAAGAATTAAAAGGTATCTGTGTGATGGGTAATCAATTTTAGGGGAAATTATCTATACCTCTCAAGGAAACAGTGATTGGTAGTACCTATACAAATAATGATCAAACCTTTAACTACAGGTATTGAAGAATTATTCAGAGATATGCCATTTTATGACTTGGAACACCATGTTTTGATATATTTAAACAGAAAATAATGAAGTGAACTATTTAAAACTTTCTCAGAATTAGAATTAACATTGTTTTCTACACTATCACAGATCATACTTCACACACCCACACTTATACACTCACATACACACACATGCACATACAAACACACATACACTGTGAATTCTTTTATATTTGATTTTGAAACTGAAGTTGTTATTTTAATTCCTATTGGTTTTAAAATAATAAGAAGCATTTATTTCATATCTCAGTAAGACATTTAGCATACTACTTAACAATAAATCATAATTTTGTATGGGAAAAACGCTTATTGTATTACGATGTGATTAGTTGTACAAATACCACCAGAACTTTTCCATTTGAGTTTCTTTAGGTACATTTTAATTGCTGCATTTTATTTTACTAGAAGAAAACCCACCATGATCTAGTAACATAATTGGGCGTCCTTTTTGCTTAATTTAGTCATTCTTTAATTAGCATTTTAATGAACTATGTTAATTTTCTTATTTCTTTTTCTGACACCTCTTATAACAACACAGTCATATTCACAAGGTGCTGGTTAAATTACGTACAACATCAATGCTCAGATTAAAATTAAACAAATTTCAGGATAGGACACAGTAGCCAAGATAACTGGTGTCTAACTGAAGATGGTGAGGCAGCAGGGCTCCAAAGGAAAACTGTAACACCTCAGATCTCTGGAATCTCACAACCCTGTTTTCGTAAGGCAAGAGGGCAACTATCATGGTGTTGACATTTACGTGGTTTAATAGAGCCATTCATTCTACAGATCTTTTTCGCCTAAGAAAAGAAACTAGAGAATCATTAAGAATGATGGTTTGTTGAGTTTATCTTTAGCTTGCTTTCTACTTGTCAATCGTAGCTTTTGCTGGAGGAAGATTGTGATGATGATAATCTTAGTGATAAAATCAGCATCATCATTAAGTCTGGATGAGTCATTCAATGACTAATAAATGTGAGGAGATGAAAGCCTAGAGCTGCGACTTGGTTCCTGGATAAGTCAATTTTGCTGTAGATTCACACCTTTGTCTAAACAGCGAGATGCTCGGCTGAGCACATTTGTTGCGTCTACTTCATGCACCTTCACTTAGTTTGCTGGTACACAATCTTTACTTTCTCTCCTAAGAGGAACAAATATTAAAGAATAGAATCATAGTCCAATTTTGGATCCATGGCCCAGCTTTACCAAGATACATAGATAATTCTTTTCTGTTTTACTTGGCAACACTGCTGTGATGGACATAAGCTTTATCTCATGTGGTTCGGATAGAGGGGAGACGGTTTATGCCAATGTAGACATTTATATTTATAACACAGTTTATTCTACAGTGTAGGGTTTTTAGTTCTTGCATTGTGTTATTCTCTGAGGGTGCTCCTGAGAGCCTTCCAAGAGGTCCAGTCTGTGGTCCTACCTCATGAACTCATGAAGATGGTGTAATGCTAGCAGCATGATTTCCTGTGCATTGAGCAGCTCTGTTTAAAGGAAGTAACAATCCATGGTTTTCAGAAGGTAATGTGTTCTGGATGGGTTATAAAAGAGGTAACACTTACCTTAGTATTTCATTGACTTTTTGTTTGCAGAACCTCAGATGGTGGCAAAGTGGTCGGCACCATAGAAGTCAGCCTCGTGAGGATGGGGGAGATTGAGGATGGAGACACAGACCACATTACAACAGATGTGCCGGGACAAAAGGTAGGATTGCAGTCAGCTCGTTGCACAGATTAAATTAGAAATGATGAGCTTTGCCAGACGCCTGTATTGCCAACACCCTGTGGGATTTGAAATCTTATTATTCAAAAGCTAAATGAGAAATCGTCCCTGGAATTGAAGGACAGTTTGTGCATTTCCTCTCAAAACCGGAATGCCCATTTACTCAGAGCTGTGTGAAGCTCCGTGCCATTCAGAAACACCTTTCTCTTCTGTGCCAGCTCCCATGTTGATATCATCTCTTCTCAGTTGGAAGAAAAGTACTGATCATTGTTACATTCTGCCATAATTACCCTGCATGAGAAGCAGGGAGTATTCTGGGAGGGTGACTGCCAAGAGTAGCTACCTCTTTATTCCCAAAGACATCTTTGGGAAGAGATGCAATTTTAATTTTATATGAAGGGAAGCATATTTAACAAGAACTTTATATTTTATGAATTGTACACACACACATGTACACACACACACACAATGCAGGGGGGAGCAGAAATAAAACAGACACACAGGTCTGAAGGAAGTTCAACGACAGCAATATAGTGAAGAAAGTAAACAGTGTGTTTGAAACCAAAGCCCAAGAGATGTCTCAATACTCCCTTCTGTTTCTTCTTCCTTTTCAGTTATAGTAACAAGCAGTAACAACAAACAATATAAATATCAGCCTAAATCTTTTTCTTACAAGTGCTATAACAATTGGGTACATAGTTTGGGCTTTAAAAATTTCCAGGAGTTTTATAGGAAATAATTTTTATGTAATAATTTTAATAACAAAATATTTTTCCATAATATAACTTATATGTTGTTATAAATGAATATTTTTAAGAAACAAAACCTGCTGTGACTTATTACTTCTTAATATAAAAATGTAGGATGCGTATTAGTCAGGGTTCTTCTGTAAAGGAATATTTGAAACTGATAGATTGTGTGTGTGTGTGTGTGTGTGTGTGTGTGGTATGGTCCAGGTAGGCCAACAATAGCTGCCTCACACTGAAGAGGCTGACAATTCAATAGTTGATCAGTCCTTGAGGCTCTGACATCTCATCTGGTACCAAAGGCCTGGACAATTCCTGAGGAGCTCTTGGTCTTTACTAACTTTAGCATTCTAAACAAGTTGTTTCTAACATCAGGGAAGAAATGACACAACAACGGGACAGATGAAAGAGTGACGGCAAGCAGGCACAAACAAAACAAAACAAGTTTCTTCTTCTGTGTCCTTTTTGCTGGGTTGCCATCAGAAGGTACAGCCCACATTCAGGATAGGTCTTCCTACATCTGACTGAGAAACACCCTCTCAGGAATGCCCAGCAGATGATTCCATTTGTATCCAAGGTGATAAACAAGATTAGCCATCACAGAATATGCTTGATGATTGAGCCTTGAGAAATGTCTACTTAGAGATGATGTTTACCTAACAATTAGAAAACATTATATTTATTTATTTAAAAAATACTGAGGACTGCTTTTCAAAAATGTTTTGCTTTCTCTGAGTAGACTAAGACATTTCCTCTTTCCACAAACTGTGCTCTCCTCCCATCCTCAGAGAATATTGTCGCACACTGTAGATTACCCAAGGCTGTTTGTGAATGTCAGGCCATGACACGATTCTGCAGTCGATCCTTTGGGCTTTGGCATTTGAGACCTTAGGCCTGGAGTTTAGTCTTTCCGTTCCAGGTGTGTTCCTGGAGCGTGCCACATAAAGCTCATCTTTGCCACTGCTATGCACGTTCTTGTGTGAACATGGACAAAGAACAACTAGAATTCTAAACTAGTCACCACATTCTGAAGTAGACTGACAGGCCTGCCTGGACTTGCAGCCATTCACCAGGATCCCAGCTGTCGGAGCATCACTTGGCATTTCAAAGCTGAGCTGCTATGCTCAATCTGTCTGTCGCTGGATTTCTCTTTACTGACTGTTATCTCACCACACCCATCCCTTTACACAGACCATTACTGGATAGTACAAATCAATGATGTCTTAGCAGTCTGTCCTAGGACACTTCTGTTTTTTATCCCAACAGCTCGCCCAGCCCTAGACACCAGTTCATTGCTATAACATCATGTAAAGTAAGGGAATTGAGTCTGTCCCTCTGTACTCTACTCAGAGTTCCCCTGCTCATGGCTCTAGGCCATCAGTAAGATGAAGCTCTATAACCTGAGAGACATTCTTTTCAGCAATGTGGAGCTTCTTACCCACAATATGCCTCGCTTTACCTCACATAATTTTTCTGAGCCAGCAATGTGGATTCATAACAGATGAAATTTTTTCTCTTTATAAAATGACTTACACTCTTGTACCAATCCCTAAGAATATTTATGATTAAGTAAAGAACATATATTAAGATCTAAGATATACAGTATTTATATGAAATATAATATACACGAAAAAATTTTTATTTCAGTGATTCTCAACAAGTTCTTAGAATGGCGCAAGTATAAATCTTTCCATAGATCTTTCTATTCAAAATCGTTATGAAGGATGGGACACAGTCTGCCACTAGTGTTAATCCAAATTGTATGTGGCTGACAACTGATAAAAGAAATTAACCAATCTAGGAGGTACTACTGAAATAATACTCCTCTTCATAATCTACAGGATTTTGAAAGGTTGGCGAGATTGCTTAGTTGAAATAGCACTAGCCAAACAAGCACTTGAATCCCAGCACCCACTAGAATGCTGAACATGGCTGTGAATAACCCCAGCACTGAGGGTGTGGAGTAGACACAGGTTGACTTAAAAACTTAAGTTTACTTTGCTGCAGTTTCTGTTCTAGGTGACTTAGAAAGCAGAAACTTACTTTGTTATGATTCTAGGGTGTATGAGCTTAAAATCGATATGCTAGTCAATTTTTTAGCTTGCTTTCTGGTGAGGGATATTAGTTGAATTAATTAGTTGTGTGGAGTCTGGTTTTGTATCATAGATCTAAATCTCCAGAAAGCAGTGGATAGTCATTTGAAAAGGAGAATGCTATTAAGTTGATATTATACCATCTGCTTTGCCGTTTGGATGAGAGATGAGGAGTGAGAAGTTCACATTTTAGTGGCTTCTCTATCACAGAGGAGGACCTTCTGTTCGGAATCATGTGTAGTCTTTGATGACTAGGAGCCAGCAGTGGAGGAGCAGTGGAGGAAAGAAGTATCTTGGAAGTACAGCCCCGATCTCTATGAATTCTGTATTTTGTTTAAAAGTTTTCATGTAAATTGTCTTGCCACATTCTGTTGACAACGTTCTTCCTGTCACAAGACAGTGTTAAAAGACAGTATCTAATTATTTCATGGACAGCTGTCAAACACACACTGCAAAAGCGTTTGTATGCCAGTCTGAGATAGTTAGATCTGTCTCTAGCAAATCAACATGACACACTGACATGGTGATAACTGTGTTTGTAAGTGAGTTTACAACTTTGTACAAATGGAAATGGGTTGAGCACATATTGGAAACAGGAGAGATGGCCTTAAGTAGGCTCACTGCATGAGTGTTCAGTGACTTCAAGATTTTTAAAGTATGTTCATCTTCACTCTAGTTGTGCATTAAGGAGGACCACATGTAACCGCTAGTTGGTCAGAAAAAATCACAGAAAAGGCATTAAACTCATAGTGACTATTCTGTAAAGAAAACTCAATAGGATAACTGCAAAAGTATACTTTTCTCTCCAACAAATGAATTGAATAATGTAAATGAATGTCACAATCAAGGCTGGATTTGGTGTTAACAAAGACTGAATTGTTGCCTTCCTCTTCAAAACATTTAAGGATTGTGTATTCCGATATTATTCAGTGTTCCATGGCTGAGCTTCTAGAAAAACCAGACTCTGGGGAAAGGAAGAGGGGTGGAAATGAGGGTAAAGAGATGCATGTCTGAGCAGACAGGAAATAGTCCAAGGAATTCTGGGTCAACCCCCTGAGGACAGTGATCTGAGGCTGTAGCCTCTTTCCTGCAGAGTCTGATGGGACCTACAGACAAATAACAACTTCCCTTAAACTCTTTCAGCTGAAGAACATTCTAGGCCTTTTATTTGCTTTATTTTGTTTATATTAAACTATTAGTGTCTGGTATACTTGCTGTGAACATTCTCCCTACTTCCTCTTCTCTTGGGTTAGAGACGAAGAAGCATTAGTCTCTCACCAACCCCTTGGGGCCAGAAGAATCTTGTTTCTTCTATCCAGTACAGCTTCATAGGAGGATGTGAGGGAGATTGTTTGGAGAATTGTCTCCTGCTATGGATGAACCACCGGGGTCATGTCACTTTCCTCTTCTATGTCCTTTTCTTCTCTCCAGAGAATTCTTAGCCTCATATATTACAGACTCAGTCACTGACTCTGCACATCAGGTTATTTAAAATGTGCCTTTTTATTATTTTTATGTTTTTATTTATAATAATTTTCAAATCTTATTTATTCACTCTACAACCTGATTGCATTCCCTTTCTTCCCAACCCCGCCCTCATACTCCTCCCATATTCCTCTATCCCCTTTTCCTCGGAGAAGGGGAGACTCCCCATGGGTACCAACTCACCCTGGTACACCAATCAGCAGGACTAAGTACATCCTCTCCCAGTGAGGCCAGACAAGGCAGCCCAACTAGGGGAAGGGATTCAAAGGCAGACAACAGGGGCCAAGACAGTATCCCCTACACACACACACACACACACACACACACACACACACACACACACACAAATTGTTAGGAGACCCACATGAAGACCAAGCTGCTCATCTGCTACATCTGTGTTAGGGGCCCTAGGTCCAGCCCCTGCATGCTCTTTGGTTAGTGGTGCAGTCTCTGTGAGTCACCATGGGCCCAGGATCCTCTACTCTGTAGGTCTTCTTCTGGTGTCCTTGATCCCTCCTGTTAGCTTCCTAAATCCTTACCCAGGCTTCTTCCACAAGACTCCCCGAGCTCTGCCTTGTTTGGCTTTGAGTTTCTGTATCTTTTTTATATCAGCTGCTGGATGAAGCCTCTCAGAAGATAGTTATGCTAGATTCCCATCTGAAAGCATAGCAGAATACCATTAATAGTGTCAGGTGAAAGGTTTTTCACGAGCAGTTTGTAACAGATCACAGCAGACCAGATGGTTACACGAGGGAGAGTTTATTAAGAGAGTGGGAGAGCGAGAGGAGAGAGAGATGAGTAGAGAAGTGGAGGCCGGCCATGACAACGTGGAGAGAGGGGGAAGGGAAGGGGGGAGGGGAGACGGCAACCTGCAGGTATGGTTCAATCGAGCAAGAGAGAGAGGAGGGGGCAAGCAGCCCCTTTTATTGTGGGCAGGTCTACCTGCCTGTTGCCAGGTAACTGTGGGGAGGAGCATACCTGGCCGGTGCCAGGTAACTGTGGAGGTGGAGTTTAGACAGAATACTAACATCAGAGGTTATACTTTATATTTTTATTTATAATTATTTTATAATTATCTTCATTATTTAAAATGAGCAAGGGTTGCATTGTTTTACTAGAGACAAAGAATATCTGCTTGTCCCATAAATGTTACTATTCAATATACTTTTGTTTTATTTAATGTTTCCTTTACTTAAAATCTAGATAATGATATGCTGAAACTCAACAATGTGAAAGGAATAAAAATATTTGACTGCTTAGCATGGCTAACTTTCCTTAAGAATGTAAAGTTTATTTTTGTTCTTGAGGAATAATCATGTCCCTCTTTTTAGTTATTCTGTGAGTGCCCTTTAACTAGATCTAACATGTACCTTGTAATTAGTCCAAATGTACCACATATAAACATGAGTAAATAGTCGTGATTTAAGTATGCAATACAGTCAAGATGAAGCTAGAAACAGTTTTAAACAAAATATTTGTATAAAATTTTGAAACCAAATGTAGCCTTATGTTGCTGGAAACAAAAGTAAATAATTTCATCTCTCATTTTACTATGTTAAAGTAAGATTAATTTTTTTCTGTTATGTTCCAGTGTGCACTAGTGTGTGAATCCACAGCACCAGAAAGTCTGAGTGGGAAGGAAAACTTACCTTTTATGAATGCAGGTATGTAAGTCAGTCTTGGATACTTGTGTTAATGCTAGATGAAGATAGATTTTAATTTGTTATGAAATCTATGATATTGAACTTGGGCAGTATTTTCTCAAACACATTTCTGAGTATTTAGTTTGCTCCATACTTGAGGGAGCTGAACATAATGGATTATAATTTTTGTCTTTTCATAGAGGACACAGGTTTGAGAGTGACCTCACATTCAGTTCGAAATATAGTTTTAAATATCTTAATCCAGGTAACCTCAAGGGATGTGCAGAAGGTAAAATGCATCAACAGTTTCCTTTTAGTTACCTTATATTAGGGAAAGTGAGGCCAATTCAGTTAGTGTCCTAAATGCTGGAGTTTTCAAATTTTAAAAACCCAAACTAAATACTAGATCTTAAATAATAAGTTCATTGTGCAGATAAAAAAAAAAAAACCTGCCTAACTAACTAACTAACTAACTAACAAGACACTCATGACTTTGACCTTTGTGCCCCACTGTCTTTCCTTCTATATATTTATCTATCTAAACTCAACAGCTTTGGCATGAATCTGTTGAATCCCCCTGTGGGAATTTTAATCTTTAGAAGAAGGGAGCTATTGGCATTCTTCTCTGGGCTTTGCCTTAATATATTCTATGGAACCTGGCAGTTTGGAGTGAGTTATGGAGTCCTTACTGAGTACGAGAGAATGCCATATCTACTGTCTTCCATTTATATCTCTAGAGGTGTTATTCACAATTCAGGAAATTCACTTACTATTGTAAGATGCAAAAGCCATTTACATAAAGGTCTTCTCCCTTTCCTAGCTTGTTTATGATGATGCAAAGTTGAAAGTATGTATTGGGAATCTGGGGATCTGAAGGGAGCAGAGAAAGCTCAGGGTGGAGCTTACAGCTCTGCAAGCACTTTAGCTGGATGAGAGAACAAAACAGGAGAAACCACAGCAAGATGTGAGGCGCTGCTATAATTTGATTTTAGAATTATATAATTTAGACAATAAAGTTGGAAACATGTTGGTTCCTTTTCATTGCTGTGGTAAAATATCATAATCAGAAGCAACTTAAGAAAAATTTCGTTTGGGCTCACAGTTCCAGAGAAGGAAGAGTCCATCATGATTGTAGTGGGGTTGCACGGCAGTAATCCTCTCTGGTTGGCAAAGGAAGCTAAAAGATCACATCTTCAACCCAAATGGGAAGCTTAGTGAACTGGAAATGCCATCAGTCTCTAAACTCTCAAATTCAACTCTTAGCCATGTATGTCCTCCAGCAAGGGTTTACTTCCCCAAAGGTCCATAACTAACACAAATGCAACTAAAAAATGAGGACCGAGTGTTCTGATACTTTAGCCTATGGATAACCTTTCTCATTCAACCTACCTACTGTATCTCTTTATTTTTATTTATTTTAAGCAAAGTGGTAACAAGAAAGTTAAATTTCTTTTATATTGGGGAATGGGGCGTAGGAGCAATTAACTTGGAGCACACAAAAGTATGACTAGGTGTTATCTGTGAAGAGACACTATAACCAAGGCAACTCTTATTAAGGAAAACATTTAATTGGGGCTGGCTTAAAGTTTCAGAGGTTCAGTTCGTTATTGTCGTAGTGGGAAACATGACAGCTTGCAGGCAGACATGGTGCTAGAGAGGTAGCTGAGAGACTTACATCTTGTTCAGCAGGCAGCAAGGAGGGACTGTGTGTCACAATGGGCATAGCTTGAGCATATATAAGACCTCAAAGCCTGTCTGCACAGTAGCACCCATCCTCCAACAAGGCCACACCTACTCCAATGAGGCCACACCTCTTAATAGTGCCAATCCCTATAGGCCAAGCATTCAAATACTCACCTATGAGGGCCATTCCTACTCAAACCTCCACAGGTGTCTTACAGAGTCCCTGGGTTGTGTATTCCTGTTAAATTACATAACAAAAGTGAGTCCCCTGCCGCTCTTTCTCTCAAGAGCAGACAGGTTTTTGTGGTGCTGAAAGATTCTTGCCTTGTTAAATTAAGAGCACTGCTGTATTGTTAAACTAAATTAAGACCATAGTCAAAGTCTAGGCTCCCAGAACTGGTGTCAAAGAGTAGGTTTGCTAAACAGCAAGGTGTCCTCATCTGGCTTTTCAGCCTCTCTGCATGTCAATGACCAAATCCTGCCACCCTCAAACAAACTTGGGATCCTGTTTTCTTTTGTGTGTGTGTGCAAGTGCAGTATATGCTTGTGTGTTCATGTCTGGGCAGGTGTGTCCACCTGTGCATGCATGTTTCCAAGCCCAAGGTGGGCTATGCATATCTTCCTTTATTTCTTTCTACGTCATTTTTCTTTAGAAATGAGGTTTCCCACTGAACCTAGAGTTCCCTGTTCCATCTAGACTAGCTGCCATCAGACACCTAGAACGGACAGTCCTGTCTTGACCCTGCCAGCTTTTCCCCAGAACTGGGGCTATAGGTGCATTCAACCACACTCAGTGTTTTACATGGGAGCCAAGGATTCAAATCCAGTCCACAAGCCTGGATAGTGAACATCTTAACCATTGAGACATATCCCCAGACCTGAATTCTTTTTGACTCTTAAAGGTTTGAATTGACTGTAACCCAATTTTGCTTTTGAAAATTCTCCATCTTTTTTTGAAACATGCCGTAGGCATGTTCATTTAATGCAATTCATGTGTAAATAAAATCCTTAGTCCTTTGTAACTATATGTTTCAGAAATTCTCATTTGCATTCATATAATTTTAAATTTTTGTGAGAGGACAATTCCCTCTATACTTATTAATTACCACATATACACATACATACATTTCTAAAGAGTACTTCATTGGCTGAGTGTTTCTTTTCAGATGTTAAATCAGACTGGCTAATGACCCTATGATGAGTTTCTGGCTGTCAACAAACGTTAGTTTTGGTATAGCACCTTCCTTGCATACATCCCTATCTCTTGAGTCATGTAATTAGCCCTTTTTCTTTAAAGATTACATTGTTTTGTATATTAAGATATACACTGACTGCCCTTTCTTATTCTGAGAGGGCTTAGGTATCACACAGTGGTGATTCCTAGGAGTGTAATTTGAATATACACAGATATAAGGGATGTCCACTGTCACTCAAGAATGTACATAGGCTATCTTTCTCTTTAGGGAACTTATTAGTCTTGATTCAGAACTAAACCACACCTTTATTCAAAGTAGGCCCAATATATCCACTTCTTTCTTCACAAAATAGAATTAAACCATTTCCACTTCTTTGCGGATGTTGTAGATCACCAGCTACTACAGATGAACTTTTTCTGTCTTTTCATTTTAAAATTTATTGTATGCATTAACACACATGGGACCCTTAAAGGCTGCAAATTTAATTTCACATTGTTTAATAATAATTCTTTCTGTGGACATAATAACAATCTTCCATCCTGTAGCACTGAACCAATCACTTATTAGTAAAGTAGAATTTAGTCTTTAAATATACTTTCAGTCCTAGTGAATACACACCTTTGAGATTTCAAGAAAACCAGATAAAACAGCCAGTTCTTCCATATGGTCTTTTATTTAAAGATGATCCCAAACCAGGGGAGGAGAGGAGAGGAGGGAGAAAGAGAGACTGTCATTATTTCAGCTTCCTTGGAAATGAACTCCAAGCTCCAAAAATGGAGTGACTTGCAATTGGAATCATGGTATCTATATTTCCCCTCAATGATACCCTGACAAAAACACAAGGCACCCACGACTAGCTTTCTTATGATGAGGATGGCCGTTAGACAGTGATGATGCTCATGGAAACAGAAGATGCCTTGAGCAGCAAGAAGCTTAGATGTCCTGAGAGTAAGTAGAGTGCACTTGAATCAGCAATGCATTCCTTACTTTCAAATACATGAGATGCTCCAGGCCCAGAATACAATAGAAAATTGATGACACCTTGGCCCATATTCTTACTAGATTTTATGCTTCAGATATCAGATAATTGCATTTAAGTTTTGAATAATGTAATTAATTTTCTTTAAAAGTCACTATGAAATGTGTGTGTGTGTGTGTGTGTGTGTGTGTGTGTGTGTTGAGAAAATGCCTTGCTCTGTAACCCAGGCTATCCCAGGACTCAAAATCCTTTTGCCTCTGCCCCTACTCACCCATATCCACATTCAGCATGTTTCAATTTTATATGTTTCTTTAGGATGTAATTGTACTGCACAGAACCAAAGAACTAAGCTAAACATTAGGGTAGTATTCTACTCACTAGCACCCTATCCATAATTCAGGATACTTCATGGCTGTAAACATATTTACCTTGTTCATTCTGAGTGCTTATGAATTCCAATCAAAAATCCATTTTCTTCTTTTTATTGTTTTCATGCAGAACTAAAACTGTTACCATGTCAACTATGAGATGACACCATTTTATGTCAGTGTTTTTTTTTTTTTATATATACTAGTTGAGATGAGCTATCTGAGTAATTATTACTCTTTAATTGTAATGCTTGGGGCTATTTTGACTTAAAACACTGTTCTTTATTCCTTTTATTTTAATTACTTATAAAATAATGGTTTTTCACTACAGCATTCACTCACACTCTAATCTTGTACTTTGCTCATATTCATTCTCAGTGCCCTTCTTGCCCACTCACTTCTCACTGGGCCTCAAAGTTCCCCTTTCTAGTTTCAAGTTTTCTTCTTGTCACTTGCCAGGTGCCTTTGTCCTTTGCTGTTTTAATAATCTAATGCAATGAATGCACCTCGCATTCCAGGACTCCCTAACTATTTCCATTTAAGGTGTGCTGATATATTTATGTTGTTAATCAGCTTCACGAGAAGCATGAATTTCAGATGATCATTGGTAGTATCTTGTGGATGCCTTAAAATGCTTCAACTCTGTGCTCTGTTTATCTCCTCTCTTGTCTGCCTCAGATAAAGTTAGATAATCAAGGAAGGGAGATGATGTTGTCTGAGTAGAAGAATTTTGTGTAAAGATATGCAGAATGCTCTCATCCATGGCTAATCTTCCTATCATTCTGAGACTATCTG